AATGAATTCATTATTTATTATACATCAATATAAAATTAGCCATATAAATATATATTTATACTCCTTTATTGTTTTCTTTTGGTTGATTTTAAATTATTTAGAGACAAAATATATCAAGATAAATCATAAATTATTCTCTAAAATTCAATTATCCTTATTCTAAATGATGAGCATAATTCTAGAAATTGTTTCAAAAATATTTCAATATTCTCCAATCCTAATTTATATGGTGATATTTTCCATTTATTACATTCAAGATTCTAAAAAATATTTATTTTTTTCATTTAGACTCAAATTCTCATATTATATCATAATTTTTATTTTACATCGAATAATATTTATAACTATTTAACTTATTGTATTTAATATAATATTCATTTATTGAATTAACTTATTATTTCTACTTTCGATTTGTTATATAAATTAACAGATGGATAAAGATTTTAAGATGTATCTATGTTGAGTGTCTTAGTATATAGTTTAATATTTACAAATGATTCATTTGTTGATTACTTAATCCATTTTATATACTTATTCTAAATATCAACTTCTATTATAATTATATCATTAGTGGTGAATTTAAATGATATATTTTTATCATTTTTATCTTATTAATCATGATTAAAACATCTACCATCATAAAATATATAATATGTTCTATTATTAATAATTTATATAATACCCTTTTCCAATTCCATGTTAATCATAATAATTGCTCTTTTATATAATATCTCTAAAACCAATTCCTATCATTACATAATAATTATCTAATATTTTAAATGCAAATTTGACTAATCCATGTTTTGGAATCATTTGATCACAAATAAAACAAAAGTAACCACCATTATCATTTGGAACAACAACTTTACCATTTTAAGATATTTCACATTTATTATGTTTAAATTATTATGAAAATGTTAGTTATAAAGGATATTAATCTAAAATTTACTACTACTACTACTACTACTACTACAAATAAAATTAATTATTATAACATACTATTTAAATTTATTTTTGTAGATATGTAATATCTTGACAATCTCTCTACAATTATTTGAATTACTCTTAAATTTATTCTGTTAACTAATTTGCTTTTGAAATTTAATTTTATTTATCATTTAATTATTGATTCAGATTACTTATTTGTGAAGTTTCTAAGATATATAAAATGAAATCATTTACATTTATTACAATCTTCTTTTAGTTTCTCATAATTCTTAAGAGTAGACTATTTTTCATCCAATAAATTTTAATTTTACTATTTCGTTTATTCTAATAACTAATTAGCTTTTGTAATTTCACTTTGTTTATCATTTAATTGTTGATTAAGATTAATAATTTGCGAAGTGACTAAAATATATAAGATAGAATAATTTACAATTATTACAATCTTCTTTTAATTTCTCGTGGTTCTTTAGAGTAGATTATTTTTCATTTAATAAAATCTCATTTTAATTGATTAAATCATTATAACTTTATTATAAGGAGTTGAATTATTATTCTAATTTTGAATAATTTTCTGATTATTAAATAATCTTTAGAGAATTTTATTCAATTTCTATTTATTTAGTCTTTTATAAATCTTCTAATTAATCAATTGATAGAAGTCTCTTTATTTATATTGTATTTTTTGTAAATTTCTATATAATTTCATCAAATTAAACATTTGTTTCTATCATAGTTTCTTCACTTTATTCTTTACTTGTCGAGTCTCTTTGAATTTATATATCTTAAATATTTTGAATAATAGATTTATATAAATTAAAAGTTTAATTGAAAATGCTATAATAAACATTAAACTTTTAAATCTTCTTTTAAATTTCATTCTTAATTTTTGAATCTTCAATTTAAGTAAAATTAATGTTAGAATAATCCTACCCTGAAATCTTTAAGATGTCTTCTCTTTTTAATAATTCGAATTCAAATAAACTAATTAGATTATTAGTTATTAAATTATATCTAATTTAATCTTCTTATTCTATATTATCTTATAAATCACTTAAAGCTTTAAATTTATCTTTTTTGCTTAAAATTTAAGTGATTTCTTCAATCTATTCTTAATTAAATCCATAAAAATCTGTTTAATATAATCCCTTATTAGATTATTCTAATTAGATTGATTATTATTCATTATTTATTTTTTCAATCAATTCATTTAAGATTTAGTTATGTTGTTCTCTAATTTGTTTAAGGTTTTAGATTATCTTTTCTTATTAAAATAATCTTGAATTCTAAAATGTTTTGATTTTATCTTAACTTTTACCTTTAAACTCATCCCATTTTAGACAAGCATCTTATAATGAAGTATATTTAATAGGATCATTATTATGAATACAATCTATACATATTAATTTAGATGCTTATGTTTCATTTGAATCTAAATTAAATGTTATGATCTCTTTTCCATGTTTATTACATTTTATATTCAAACTTGGAGTTTTCTAAAATACTAATAATAATTACTGATTTATCTATTTCTTTTTCATTTTAAATTTTTGAGGCTTTTATCTCCCTTGGTTATTCAATTTTCTTATTTTATTATAAAGTATCAATAACTTAGACGAATGATTAATTACTAGTAAATGATTAAAACATTGATTATATAGAATCATAGAATTAATTGTCATCATCTAATTTATCAAATTCCAAAGGAATTTCATAATTGAAACTACCTTTATAATGTTTTGATAGAATTTCAACTTCATCTTCAAACTTAGAAATTTTAAACTTTGAGTCATATTCTTCGAAATCCTTTTCAATTGACTATATTCTTGAGTTAATATTAATTAATATTTTATCAACAACATCTTCTACTTAAACTTTAAATTATTTGATCAGACATTCAATTTATTTAAATTGTTCTATTCTCTTTTAATTTTCCTTTATTTTTAAAGTTTATTATTCATTTTTCATTTCCTTGATCATAATTTTGGTCTCATCCACCAAGGCCATATTTTAGATGTCAATTTTCTCAATTAGACATTTTATACAAAGATATTTATCTTCTTTAGCAGTTGATTACTTTAAATCTATTGTTGCTATCTCCAATTAATGTTTAGAACAAATCTTTCTCTCTTCTTTCAATGACATATTTTTTTAAAAAAGATATTTAATTTATATATTTAATTAAAATCAATATCTCATCGGAAGCATCGATCAATTTTCTCATTCATTTAAGCTCAATTAGGATATGGATTTGAAGATTAAGCTTATTTTATTTAATCTACTAGTTATTTGATGAAACATGTCTTTATATCTAAAATCTTGTTTATATTATATTTCTATTTTTAGATAGATAAATCTTCAAATTCAAGTATGCAATATATGATTATTTATTGGATTAAGTTAAATCAAAATTTACAACAATAAAATGGTCGGTTCTAAAATTATTTGTATTAAAAATACTTTAATATATTTTTCTATGAAAGATGTGTGATATTTTTAGCAAAACTATAAATCTCTTTTTATTTTACATTTTAAATAAAATTTCTACTCAATAGTACATTTGAAAGTCTTGTATAGATACCTCTTAAAAAATTAAAATTTTTATTTTATTTTAATTTTAATATTTTTTATAAGAAGATATTTTCATAATCTATTGATTTTAAGGTTAGGAGGAACAATTAGAATAATATTTTATAGCAATTAAAGAAAATTCTTCATAATTTATGGATTGTCATTGATAATGTTAATCTACTATTATCATCACTAAGAAATAAGTTTAGATCATTAAAATAATTTTAGTAATAAATTTAACAGAAGAAATTATCAGCCAATCTTAATATAAACTAAAAAATAAGCTTAAATATTTAAACGAGATATCAGTCAAAAGTATAATAACATTTCTTTCAATT